CAGAGCAGGTTGCACAGGACATCGTCCAGGCGGGCTTTGAATTTCTCCAGAGAAGGAGACTCCACAACCCCCCTGGGCAGCCTGTTCCAGTGCTCTGCCACCCTCAGAGTAAAGAAGTTCTTCCTCATATTCAGGTGGAACCTCTTATGTTTCAGTTTGTACCCATTGCCCTTTGTGTTTGTCAGCAGAGTTTTGCAACCCGTCACCTCCGGGCCTGAGGCTCGAGGGAGAGCAGGAAGAGCTGGATAGGGTGGAGGGGCTGTGAAAGCAAAAATGCGCCCTAAGGAGCGTGGTAGCGGGTGTCCCCACCACCACTGTCCGTCCGTCTGTCTGTCCGTCGTCTCGGTGGTTGTAGAAAGAGGACTTGTGAAGCTCTGCACCTCCGAGCCTGCCTCCTTTGTGGGGAAAAGTGTCTGCATCCCACTGCTGCTGCTTGGCCCTCTCACGGGGCTCAGCCCCGCGCCTTCATCAAGTGTTTCTGGTGCCAAAGTGTTTTCTTGCCTTGTTACATGGCTGGTGGTTGTGGTACTGAGGCAAGGAAGAAGGGCATCCCTCCTTCCGCTTAGCACCTACGCTGCTGTGCTGTTTCCATTAAAGTCAGGGATAGCAGGAATTGGGGATGGCTATTATAACCCATTTCCGTCCAAAGAAGTAAAATGGCATTCTTAAATCTGAGATTTGCAGGTGGAAGTGATTGTCACATGCAAAATACCTTTCTGTTGGAGGCAGGGGGGATTTTTTTTATATAGCTACTAAGCCAGGGATCAATGAAGGTGCTGCAGTTTTAAATACTTTAACAAAAAATAACAAACAAAAGGGCAAGGGACTGGGAGATGCTTTAGCTTGTTTTTAATTATCAGTGAGAAAAGCTTTTGAAAAATGATGATGACTTCTAAATTTTAAAAGTTAGCACCAGTTGATAAAGTGTGAGAATGATCAATCAATAACTGACAATAGGATAGCTTCGGTTCCATCTTTGTGTTTTCCAAAGAAATAAATATCACAGGATCAAGGGTCTTCAACAGGTTTAGATCACAAAAAAAAGGAGAAGGGAATGTGGTTTTCCTTATGGTATGAAGAATTAAGATTTTTTTAAAAAAAAAAAAACAGAAACCCAAACAAACCCCAAACTGGAAAGCAAGTCATATTCCTAGATATGCAGCTTATAAATAAGATATGAAGGCAAAGCTTAGCCTCGCATATGCATAGGGACAAAGATGTTATCAGAGTCTCCAGAATAACTCAGTTGTTTAATATACCAGTGGCTGTGATATTTTACAGTTGGCTTAACCAATATATCCTATTAATTTCTCTCTGAGACCACTTTGAATAACAAATCCTCTCAGTGAGATTTTTAAAATTCTGGATATAACATTAACGGAGATCATCGTTGCATATGATTCCTCTGAAATGGACAAAATGGTTACAAGATACTGAAATATTAGAGCATCATGGGAACTGAAACTACATTGTCTGTTCAATATTACACTAATTTTACCCTTGGTCATTTTAACTCTGACAGAAAAAAGTGGAAAAGTCTTGAAGATTTATCAGAGGAAACTATTGAAGAGGTGGATGAGTAAAAGATGTTGCAAGGGTTTAGGTACTGTCCTGGGGTATAAGGCAGTTTGACTTTTGTGCACACACTGAGGCCAAGTGAAATTTTTGAGGTTCTATGTAAATGTCAGTCTCTGCTGCAAGTGTCAGAAGCCAGAGTTAGCAATTCTGCATTTGTCTTGGATTCTGAAAATCAAAATGATCTAATGGGACAAAATATTGTCGGCAGGAATATTGAATGCCCTGACAACAAATACTCTTTTTTTAGTTTTGGCTATTATTTCAAGCTAGCTCCACGCAGAATGGCTTGTAAAGCA